AGCGGATAAAAAACAACACCTAAGAATGATCCGCATAAAACTTGGCAGAAAGCTCGTTAAAGTACTTGGTCTGTATAGCTCAGAGGTAGAGCATTGGAGCGCTAATCCAAAGGCCCGGGGTTCGAGTCCCCGTACAGCCCAAATCTTTAACGAGCTTGCAAAAGATGACTGATGTCATCACTGTCAACCGTGGAAGCCGTATGGCTACCCATCTACGCTGGAGTACGAAAAACATCATCTCACGCTCTCAGTCCCAGCGGATAAAAAACAACACCTAAGCATATAAATGTTGTTATGCAAACCGAGCTTACCTGTATCGTATTGAACTGTACCTATATATATGTATGTATGTGCCATATGTATGTACTGTGCCACCATTTATTAGCTATTTATTACTATCTAAATCTAGATCGACGCCTATCTTGGAAGCGCATGCAAAATATCTGTGAGTGATTTGATTCAAAATATTGTATTTTGCCTCATGTGTGTCACATACGTCTCTCTTGTTTTATTGTGATCTTGTACCACTGAAGAAGGGCCACGCCCGAATATATATTGGTTTATTTTTTCTATTTCTGACAGAAATGAGCAACAGGTTATTCATCCTTCTAATAATCTTATTAACAATGCTCAGCTCAACGTTCAAATACCTGGGGTCAATGACCCATACAAAACAGACAGGTCAATGTCCTATGACCTACAGTCAACGCCGTGCAATTTCATTTTTCATCTATTTTATTGTCTATTGGCTCTTTTTGCCTATTCTATGGTTTGTTTATTTATGTATGTATATTCAAATGTGTTTTTCTCCCTATCTCTGGTGTTCGGACAAAATCAATATCAGTTTCAGAGCCACCCAATTAAATATCAGCAGTGAACAATCAACATGTATTGCAGACAGGGATGCGGAGCCGTGGAAATTTCAGACGGCTCCGGCTCCGGCTCCGGCTCCGGAGAAAAAAATCGGCTCCGGCTCCGGCTCCGGCTCCGGGTGAAATGTTATGGCGGCTCCGGCTCCGGCTCCGGCTCCGAGTAAAATGGTCCGGCTCCGGCGGCTCCGGCTCCGGCGGCTCCGGCTCCGACTCAGTACATCCCCTACGCAATCAATTAAATACGGGTGGAAGAAAAATTGGATTGGTTATACGCGTTACTCTTTGCCATGACCGGCTCACCGCGTCCCCGCGCAAACGCACCTCGGAGAGAACTGGCAGAACAAAGGGCTAGGAAGCGATGGCATTGGAAACGCAGTCGCCGCGAATCGGAGTTCAGTGAACCATCGTAAGCTGACACCCGTCTCGGCTGCATTGGGGGGTGAGGGGTGGGGGGTGGGGTGTGGGATGAGACGGTGCAGGGAGTCGCAGTCCACTGCACTGGTTTGAAAACAATGGCCGTCACCTGATGACTGGTCCTCATGTTCTGGGGATGCAGTAGACGTGGGGGGGGGGAAGAGCAAACAGGAAGTTGATTGCGTACTGTGGGATACTGGGGATATTCGGATTTTTTCATTCACTTGATGGCCCATGACGTAAGTACCATATGTTTTACTGCCTTGTACTGTCAAACCGAACTAGGTCAATTATTTGTTTTCCTCTTCAAAAAATAAAAAGGAGCCGGAGTCGCCCCCTTTTTTGGCGGCTCCGGCTCCGGCTCCGGCTCCGGGCTATATTGTTTCACGGCTCCGGCTCCGGCTCCGGCTCCGGGCTATATTGTTTCACGGCTCCGGCTCCGGCTCCGGCTCCGGGCAAAATATGCCGGCTCCGGCGGCTCCGGCTCCGACTCCGGCTCCGGCTCCGCATCCCTGATTGCAGACTTAGCAATGACACAAAACAGTCATCAATACATGTACATATTACATATTCGGCAGCATTGTCTGCCGTGCGTCCATCACATTGACGTGTGCATGCCCTCCAGGGTAGCTCATACGCTCTCCTTGCTCGTCATGTTGAAGTGTATGTTGAATGTACAGCTGTGGAGCTCTGTGCCGACCACAGCACCACGACTGATGCTCGCGAGATCCGCCGTGCTTGTGACCGTGAATGACGCACCGCTCTGTACGTCGCTGCTGACCTCGGCTACACTGGCTTTGTGATCTTGACGATGCTTATCACTGGAGAAGTCTGCATTTTCAGTTACGGTCCTTGCCATCTTCCGTTGGACGGTGTCGCATGTCTCAGAGTAGCTAGTGAGACTGTTTACTGACTTATGCCCTGTGAGCTGAGTCACATAGCTTTCAGGACACCCACCATCAAGGAGCCGTTTGATCGCAGTCTTCCGGGCGCTGTGGTTTACGATTTTTTTTTTTTGTCTGTTATCTCAGCCATTTTTGCTGCAGAGCTGAGTAAGCCCCCAAGAGAGTTGGCTCCCAGCGGAGCGTTTTTGAACCAGTTGCCAGTCTTTTCAAATGTGTAGTTCACTGCCAGGTAGAATTTTGAGCACGAATCGGAGCTTGCTGGTCTTTTCGACGAATACAGCTTGAATGCTTCCACTGGACATTTCGTTTTATCCTCCAGCGGGAAAATCTTCGGCTTGAAAGCCCTGCCAGAGTCGCATCCGCGGCGAGTCTTTGTAAGTCTCTCCGAGTACTCGAGGTACTCACCATCAGCTCCGCATTTCAGATCGACATCTCCCCATAGCATCTGGTGGTGCTCGTTGCGCCCTCGTAGTCCAAACAGCATCGTGAAATACCAAAAAAGGACCCTAAGGAGCGCCATAGGATGGCGAAAGCCGAAGGCCTTTGACTCCCAGAAGTTCCTCTCGTCTTCTTCGGATGCTGGCATGGCTCTATTTGGCCTGTTGCCCTTGCCGGACGACTTTGACACCGCCATCTTTGCTTTGAGGACATCTTGGACAAGAGAAAATGAGGACGATGTCGATATCTTAAAGTCAGGGTAGCTCTGCTCTTTTAGGTGCCTTTCGATTGAGTATATGATCCCCTTCAGAGTCTGTGGTTCATATTCCTCGCCATCGCTTCTCTTCAGTTGTTGGATATACCTACATAGGTAGGCACTTAACAACGGCGCATCCAGCTCATGTGGATCCTTGCTCTGTCCTTATGCAGAAGAAAGTGTTTAAATTTACGTACGTCTTGTTCAGTGATTTCCTTTGTCCTGGATGACTTGGTGCTAGCAATGAACTTAATGGCTTCCTCTCTCGCTGTTTCTATGGTAGTTTCATTTTTATCTTCATCATCATCAAGGAAATTGCCAATTAAATCAAAACACGGTCTATCACTCATTACTGTTAATTCGAATAACGTGTAACTGCCAAGGCCTAAATTTGCTGACAATGCAAACCGAAATTGTTTCCAGACTTGATTTTTCGCTGTAATTTTGAATTCGCGTGGCGCAGTCATATACTAAATCGCTTAGTACACTCGCGTTTCTAAATTTTCATTTTGTGACCTCGACTGCGTCTCGGTCACAAAATGAAAATTTAGAAACGCTCGTGTACTAAGCTATATTGTGAAACATTGTGAAACACAGTGATCAAGGTCGTATGTGACCGAAAGTTTTGTGTATTTAAAAGTAATTTAAAAATAAATATCGTTTGGTAATCTTAGGTTTCCTGAGTTGTCGTTATCCAATGCAATATGTTACGAGGCTGTCTGTGGTGGTTGACACCTACTTTGGCTAGCCGGCGGGACACGCACTTGTTGATCTCACCTAACATGACCCGACCTTCGCCAAATGCTAAAAACGGATTCAATTCAGCGCAAAACTATAAGCCAGATATCATTGAAAAATTTGAAGTTTGTTTTTCAAGTTTTTTTTTCTGTCTGGTGTATCAATATGATGAAGGTGCAATCTAATATTGGGTAATATTGCATGGGTCAGGTGGCCTACCTTTTCTCTATTTTATTTTCTTAGTTAAAAAAATCATCGTATCAGGGCTATGACGAAAAACAAGTGGCCTAAATCCGATGAGAAACTGGATTTGGGGGTACCCTAGGTTTAGAGGAGACACTAGGGCGATGGGCGAAGAGCAGACCGTCCCTCCCTTCCCCCCCCCAACCAAAAGTCCGTGGCAGAGCCCTTGCCAATAAACACACCACAACCACGTGTGTCATAATGCTGAGCGATGGCGTTCACTCGGCTTGCTCCTAACTCACGATAACTCTCCCGCTAGATGGCAGGCCTGATCCCAATGTCGCGGATCCAAATGTTAATTTCAGTGAGACTGAAGTGTCATGTCTTAATAGTTAATACCCAGGTAAATGCTTATTTGAAATTGTTTTAACGGACTTTCACTGGGTAGTGGGTAAAAGTTATTATTGGTCCCGGTACTCCGACTTATATTGAAAAGTCTTCGATGGGGCACACATAGGTTTAAACAGACAAAAATCAGGTAGCCATTTTTCGCAACACATCAATCAAATTTCTAAATATCCAGCATGTGATGCACAACTTACCTATTCTCATATGTAAAACACAGCCAATAGGTACACTTCCTCTTTCAAAGAAAAACTACTGTTTTAGAGCACTGTCCCATATGGGGCTAAGCGAGAATTTACCCACGCCCTGGTTAGAATTTACCCACACCGGCTACAGTGTGGGCGGCAGTTCGCCCCGAGGCAGGCCAGCACTGCAGCTGTGGAGCCGACATGGGGTCGCCGTGTGGTTAGAGAAGCGATCGAAATTCGAGTGTGCAATCCGTCTTTAAACCAGGGCGTGGGTAAATTCTCGAAAAGAAATTGATGGAAAGAAATTGGAAAGATGGAAAGAAATTGATTTACCATGAAACAAATGTATTATTTTAGCAATTGAAAAGACCGAAATACAGAATGAGCTTTCGCTGCTAACGCATCATCAGTTTCTCAGAATCTGATGATGCCTTAGCGGCGAAAGCTCGACCTTAGCTCGACGGCCAGGGGCTTAGCTCGACCTTAGCACGAGCTTTCGACCTTAGCTCAAAAGCTCGACGGCAAAAGCTCGGACCGGCTCGACCAGGGCCGGGGGTTGCAGCTCACCTTAGCTCGACCAGGGTCAGGGGTTCCAGCTCACCTTGTCACACAGGTAGATGGTTTCATCGCCCATCGGGTCCACCTGAGGACTGTCGATGCTCAGATGAACCACCATTTTCTGCAGGCCCTGGCGGAAGGTGCGCTCAGCAGCTGACTTGCCCACGTACTCCTGAGTCACGACCAGGGCACACCGTCAGAGGGACAGGGCGATAGGGCCTCCTTATCTGTTCATGCGGCATCATGGAAGGATCGCCATCAGGTTAAAGGGACTATCCCACCTTTAACATGGGGTTTGAGTTGAGATAGCCAAGTTTGCGGCGAGGTTCAGAAACCACTATCTATCTAGGTTGCAGCCCCCGCGGCCTCTTGGTGTTGAAGAAATTCGTTCCCTTCATTTGAAAATGGGCCTTGTACTTACAAGGCCCTATCTTCAACATGGAGCGACCGTTAGTGTGACGTCACCTTGTTTAGTCATTCTGATTTAAATGGGTTTGTTCGTTGAAAAATCGCTTAAAACTTGGTCTGAGCTTTGTTGTGGTGCCTACAGAGTAAAAAGAATCAGCTTTATGACAGTAATGTGGCCTGGGGAAGGAGGTAATTTTGGGCTGTGACGTCACATATTTGAAAGTTTGTGTTTGGAATATGGGAAGCCTAAGATGTTTAATGAAAAATAAATGCCAGAACCGTGTTCCTGGTCATCCAATCTATAAAGTCGGGCACAATTTATCTGAAGTTTACTTGTTGAAGCACTTGCTGTATGTAAGGCATAGGTATAAGTTCTATGAGAAAAAACACTTTTAAATGGCCTCCTTACAATGAAATACCGAAAGATGAAATAATGAAATAATTATTGATGATTTCGACCACAGGTCATTATCAAAATAAGCCAGACAGAACTTTTTTTTTTGTCAAAAAAAAAGTTCTGTCTGGCTTATTTTGATAATGACCTGTGGTCGAAATCATCAATAATTATTTCATTATTTCATCTTTCGGTATTTCATTGTAAGGAGGCCATTTAAAAGTGTTTTTTCTCATAGAACACAATTTATCTGGTTTTAACAACATTTTAGAAGGTGGGATAGTCCCTTTAACCCGCGCCCTGCTGGGGGGGGGGGTGTTTGAACACCCCCCTGTGGTTTTTCGCGAATATCTCACGCCGCCGTTTTTGGTACACCTTATCATACATCAATTCTACACATGTTGTGAAAATTTCAGACCAAGGTCATTCAAGGTCAGGTCACCAGGTCACTTGAAGTGACCTCACCTCATAAAAAGTTTCAATGTCTGTCATAGCTACACCGAGTGACCGATCGCTTTGAAACTTTCAGCAATCGCTAAGAGCAATAGCATGTACAAAATGTATATCTCAGAATTTTGATATCGATGACCTAAAGTCAGGTCAATTTTGCGACCAATTTTGCGTTGGATATCAAGTGCGCTGCTTATCATATACTGATGACGATGCCGTTTTCTGGTGCCAAGCCAGCTAGAACCTCTTTGTCACACTACCCGACCAGATTTTTGCTGCTGAGGTCATTTCAGGTCAAGTTAGGTCAAGGTCAATGGTATGTGTTTGTATGTCTGTGTGTCTGTGTGTATACTGATATGTGCAACGAGTGTTTATGTGTCCATGTTACATGAAATCATGATCTGAGAAGCTTTTACCAAAAATGCAGTCAAAAAACTTCACGAAAAGTAAATTCAGCTTGCCTAAAGCGCAATTATTTTAGATGACCTAGGTTGACCTTGACCCTGACCTTGACCTCTGTACATCGTCGAACAACATATTCCATGATAGGTGGGAGGTAAGACTGGCAAAAAAGGCCGAAAGCAAGGTGTCAAAAGCTCACAAGGCCCATAGCCAACGCAAGATGTTGAGAATTGGTCATTTGGGTCTTGACATGACCTGAAAAACAAGGTCATATCTCCGAAACCAAAAACCACAGAAACTTGAAATTTTCAGTGGACATCAAGAAAGGATAGAGGAGCAGCTGTACGAAAAATCTGGCTTATAGCTCTAAAAATGTTGAGTGCAGAGCAGAAAAACTGCCTGAGGGTGGCAACCAGCCCCCCCCCCCATGTGGGGGCGAGGGTTAACTTCGGCTCAACCGATGTCGTCACAGGTCAGGTTAAAAATCACATTTTCTCCGTTTACAGGCATTTCAAGAAACGTGTTGTAAAATCGAGTAAAAGGCATGCTAACTCATCAACGCCGAGTGGCGACTATAGCTGCCAGCTACAAAAAGTTACTGCTGAAGGCAAGGTAATAACTTAAGCACAGCATTTGTGGGATGCCTAATCAGCATAGTCCCTTCTTATCATGATCAGACGGTAGTGGCGGCGCCACGAATTTTCGCCAGTGGGGGCAAGCTTTGAGCTAAAACTTGGCATACCTGACCTTTGATTCAAGCCAGATCTTTTGACACCAACCGCATTTTCGGGTCAGGTCAGGTCACTGACCTATGACCGATGACGTCATAAGTGAAACTCAACACGGTCTTCAGATGTCGAAACTTCGCAACGCCCTCACTGCCAGAGGGCGTTTCACAGGGAAATGAAACTTGCAGGATCTAGTATCCATTACGAGTCTCACAACTTATATAGGTCTCGGATTATTCTTAATGGTCATATGAGGTCAGATCATTTTCGTGACCTCACCATTATAAGTCAATGGGGGAAAAATGAAAACTGCTATTCTGGCGCCGGGAAGGATCTCCAACTATCTCAAGCACACAGAATCGTGATTTGATGCACTCCTTGCAAGGTCCGATATGTCACTTTTGCAATGTTGACCTTGCGTGACGTCATTTATGACGTAATCAAGGTCATATTAGTTTTTCGTCAATAACTCCCCATCAAATCCAGCTAGCGAGTCGGGAAAGCCACCAATGGACTCAGGAAGACCTGCCGAATCGAATGATATGCGACATGGCCCCTCTTTCGACCAACATCGTGACCTGGGGGCGCTGACCTGACCGTGACCTGAGGTCAACACCCTAAGTTGACCTGACCCAAACAAAAAGTACATCTATTTTGAATTATATTCTTTTGAATTGGCTACACATGTGTTTCGACAAAATGTCTTTTTCAAGCCTTACATCCCAAATGATAACAATTCAAAAACATTGGCCTAAATACACATTACACAGGTGAATAAGGTCACAAAACAGATAGTAAATTCGTTCGCAGAAACATGTCGCATTCTATGTCGTACCCCTGTTTGCCAGATCCCTTACAAGTAGTTGAGCCGTGTATCTACTCAGTTTCACTTTACCAACATTGCCGTTCAAAGTTAGAAGGGTACAAATAAATGCCGCCTCTAACGCCTGTCTATGTTTCTTTTTTAACCTTCCAGGCGGTGGGGGGGGGCATTTTTTTGCCCCCCCCTTTACTTTTTTCGATATACCTCGAGAACCGCTGCGCCGATCGTCACCAAACTTTCAGTACCCTCCCGGGAGCAGCTAGCGCACATGGTGACCAAAAATTTTTCCAAAGGCTATGATAGGTTGGCCGCTAATGACGTAAGAGTGACGTCATTTTTGCCATTTTCGACCCAAAAAAAGGTTTCGCGGGAAGAGCTGTCAGGCCTACAGCTTTAGAGATACAGAAAAATGTTTTAGACATAAAAGGTGTGGAATCAAAAGGGCTACAAAACTGCTATTTCGGTTTTTCGAATTTTTTGGATTTTGACCCCCAAAAATCAAAAAATAGATTTTTTGAATATAATAGCCGAAAAATCCAAAAAGTTTTTTGAATTTCGAAAAAAACCGGAATATATGTGATAGTCCCTACCGCCTTCTATCTACATACCAAATTTGAGATCGATACCTCGTTTTTTGGCCAAGTTATAGCGGAAAAAAACTGTTCAAAATTGATGACGTCAAATTTTCAAACTCAATTTTTAGCAATTCTAGACCTCGTAGCGCAAAACAAAGACCACCATTAGACTCCCCGTGACGAGCTGCATCGAATCTATACCCATTTTATGCAAAAATATCAACTTTGAAATTTGACCTTTTTTGACCTGACCTTGACCTGACCTCCACCAGAAAGTGACCTAAACCGTACCTGATGGTCTTATAACCAACACCATTGAGTTGGAAATGAAAAACTGGCCATAAACCATGCATCACATAACCTTAGTAAAGTTGGGTTCATGTGGTGACCCTTTGTGACCTTTGGTGACCTGACCTGTGACCTGACCTGGTATGACCAGTGACCTCTAATAGCAACATATGTACTAGAGAACTGACGCCTTATCGCTGATTTTCGACAAAATGCGTTTTACTCGGTGTTATAGCGCTTTCCCTAGAAGCCCTGTGAACGGTGAAACATTTTATCTTTGACCTGACCTGTGACGTCATCGGTGACCCCGAGGTCAATGAAATTTGGTTTCCTTCGACAAATTTGACAGGGCTATCGAACGCCGTTTGAATTTTCCGGATCCGTTCAGTAGTTTCGGAGATACGGGGGGGGGGCAAAAAAGTGCCCCCCCCCCCCCACCGCGTGGAAGGTGGCTGGTAGGCCCACCGCCTGCCGGGTTAACCCTTTACAAAAAATTGAAGTTCCGTTCCAGTCTGGAAGGTGACCGGCCTCGTCGACATGCTGCACAAATGCATTAGACAATCTATGATTTCTAAAGGCCTGGCTACACTATGCGTTTTCTGCGTGCGTTTTTGCAGGTTTGCGTGTTTTGCGTAATATCGTTCTAGGAAAAAAGTTATAAACAATATAATTTTTACTTTGGTTATATACAAAAGCTAATATAACTCTTATGTAACTAAAATTTAAGGTGAAAAACATCACAAAAACGTAATATCGTTCTTTTTTCTAGAACGATAGAGCTTCTAGAACTTTTTCTAGAACTTTTTTCTAGAACCACCAGGGGCGAAACGGCGAGGAGGCCCCCCCCTCGGCCGGCGCGTATGTAGAAAACCAATAGGTCCGGAGGGGGTTGAGACTCGCATGCGTCTTTGGACCAGGGCTCAATGCAGTGAGTAGTGTACGTGCTGGGTCTGACCTTGTCGGAGCGTAGAAACATGTCCAGGCCGGCCTCGTGGGGGCCGACATCACAGCTCATCTCGGCGCCCCAGGCGCGGAATCCCTTCTCAATGCGAAGAACATCCAGCGCGTGAGTGCCGAAATCGCCCACACCTGAGCAGCAGTCAGCACAAGTCAGCATCCGTAATGACAGTGCAAAGTGTGAGATTATCTAGGCGTTAGATTCACTGTGATAGGTTCTTTGTTATTGTAATCCTCATTGCAGATTTAAAAAGCAAATTCTAGGGTCAAAGTCGGCCAAAACAACAATATGGCCTTTTTTCGACAAAATCTAATTTCGAGTGCAGTATCATCGATCAAGCAGGTGCAGTGCATGACGGTGAGCTATGCAGCGTTAACTCCGACTACGGAGTCAGAGTCGGTATCCTAGGTCATTGGTTGACCTTCCAGGTCAGGTCAATGACCCAAAGTCGGGAAAATCGGGACCTGTTAGAAAGTCGTAAACAGTGGCTGCTAAGGGGTTTTTCGGGATGCTGTTCACGAAAATCATGTTAGTTTTGATCATAGATTATGTCTTCGTGCATTTAGACCAGGTCGGGTCAGGTCAGGTCAGGTCAACCAGTAGGGGTCGTGACGGGATTTCGTAGTACGTGTCAACCGCCTCTGACAGCTTTGTAACATGTTACGAAGACACCAAAACTACTTCGTAAATGTTCAAATGGTTGCTAACTTCGAATTCAGCTCCAAAAACTAGCCTAGAAACATGTACAGCTCGAAAAAGTGAGCCGAGGTCACCAAAGGTCAATGACCTGACCTGACCTTCAGGTGACCTTGACATCCACCCAAATGCATGGAAGCAACATTTGGGTATCATCGGCTTCCTCTCGTCACGCGCAACACGCTCGTTTTTTTCGCGAAGCTCTTGCTCGATCAGGGGCCAAACGGCAAGGGGGGTCCAACTGACCCCCCCCCCTACACATTAGAAGCTGGCAAACGCCGCACACATGCGAGGGTTAACCCTCGCCCTGGCAGGGCATTTTTCATAACACGGCCTGGCGGGGGGGGGGGTCGATGCAACCCCCTCGCGATTGGCTCCTATGGCACCTAGAAACACCAAATTTGAGAGGTAGGTGGGCCCCCTAGATTTCTCACCCCTGTGCAAATTTGGTTGCTCTAGGTCAATATTTAGGGGGGTTTGGGGGTATAAATGTAAAAATTTCGATAAAAACAGGTCAAAAGTTTTTCGCTTATAACTTTTGATCTAATTAAAATAGAGTAAAAACAAAAGCACGAGTGAACTCAGCACGTCAAGGCGCATCGAATAATATACTTTTAGCCTGCTTAAGTGTACTTAAAGTTTTTCTTAATTATTAAAGTGACCATCCCACCAAAATTGCCTTTTCACAAAACCGGCCCATACCTCCCGGGTCTCCCCTAGTTAGTCACGAGAAATTGCCAAGATTCAGTTCAAGATTTTGGAAAATGCGGAACGATAATCAATAATCGAAGATAGCCAATTCATTGTTCATGGTATTGGCAGTCTAATGGCGTTTACGGCATGTCTGAATGTCTATTCTGTTATTTTATATGATTTTTGAACACATGCCGTTTTGGTCGATAACTCAGAAATCATGACATCACTAAAACCTCGGTATCTCAAAAATTTTCCGACCGATTTTTTTTTTGTGAAACTGTCACAATTATCTTCAATCAATTCCCTACAGGTTGCTTAAATTTTGGCACGCCAGGCGCGCCGTTTTTATGCTATTGCCCGGCGAAAAAGGTGGGGGTGTTTAACGCCCCCCAGCAACTCGCGGGCTAAGGGGCTAATACATTGGGATGCCCCCTTAGAATCAGTGACGTCAGCGGTGATCTAAAGATTTTAAAACCTTATGGTAACATCTTTGTGAAGCAGTGGTGGTATACGAGTATGCTATTTGCGCGCAACATCTGCCGCAAACCCCGCACTTCCAAAATGAAGTTGCTAGAAACAGCGGAGATCCCAAAAAAGTAAACAAAAGTAAAAGTCTAATATCTTGAAAACCGGTGAATATTTTTCGGTGAAATTTGGTAGATATTCGTTTTTGCTCTTTCTGAACCGAGCGACATCACTTTCATGCCAATCCACTAACTTTTTTGAAGGTGGGAGCCGAGGGTCCCTTTATGTAAACTTTAATTAATTAATTAAGTTCAAGTTAACCAAATTGTACAGTATTGCATATCATTCGATTTGGCTGATCACCAGGAACTCAATGACACCATTTTTTAAGCTCTAGCGTCATTATGTGCCAAGTTATTGGCAAAACGTCATTTGACCTCAGTTGACCTCATTTGACCTGACCCATGGATAAGTACACCAAACAAAGAAGCACCAAGTGACATGCTGTTACGCACTGTGGTTTCAAAGCTTAAAAGTGATAGAACGAAGCAGATATCTCCAGTATTTTCCGAATTTAGTATTTTCCCATAGGCTTAACATTACAACGTAATGACCTCTAACTGACCTTAGGTCAGTGAACTCAAAAAACCCGAACTATATGTTATACAACTTGGTGAAGTTAGCACATCCTGAAAGTTTGAAAGGAAATCAGTGCAAACTGTGAGTTAGACAGGTGCATGAAGAAAATTGGAATTAGACCATACACACACACACACACACACACACACGGAGTTTATTGGCATAGTACATGAGGTACATCGAGTACGTATCACGGAGAGTTGGCGCAAAAGCCATGGGCTTATCTCGAGGCGCCAAATCTCGACCATGACCTTGTACCGGTTTTTCTGACCTTGTGACCTGACCCAAGGTCACCCGGACCTGAAATTTTCAGGTCATATGTAAAAAGGTTGCCCCATAGGCTGTGCCAAATTACGCTATCTTCGAAAAACCTTAGGGGGGTCGCATCGACCCCCCCCCCGCCAGGGCGAGGGTTAACCCGCGCGGGGCTGGTGGGTAAATTTTACCCACCCTCGCGAATTTTTGCAATATCTCAAAAACGGCGGCGCGCAGCGCCGCCAGACTTTTAGTACCTTTTCTTACATCAATTTGACACGTTCCCTGAAAATTTGAGCGAAATCCGTCGGAATTGTTTTGAGAAATTGACGTTTTAGTGACGTCATGTTCGCCATGTTCGCCTCAAAAACGGCAAAATTTCAAACGCCGCTAACATCTTCATTTTTAAAGGAATCAAGACGTAACAAAAAAGATTATACGTAATTCTACTTAGTCTATCAAGTAGCTATCTCGGTTGTTTGAAAATTTTGGATTTTGGCCCATTTTTCAAAAAACTGACTTTTTTGGGAAAATAATTATAAAATCCAAAATTTTGAGTGTATCGAAAAAAACGGAATATATGTCAGAGAAGTGGTCTATGTGCACCTATGTACATACCAATTTTTAGAAGAATCGGTTCAAAAATGTGGGAGTTATTCAAAATTTTATGACGTCACGACACACAAAATTTTGAAAAAATGATTTTTTGGGGAAGTTGTAGACCTCGTACGGAAACAAAAATAGCACCATTCGATTCGCCGTGAAAAACTGCATCAGATAGACACCTTTTTAGGCCTTAACAACCAACTTCAAAATTTGACCTCACTTGACCTGACCTTGACCTGACCTCGACCTGAAATTCATCCAGAGGTGGTCCATATCACTTACTGAGTATGCGTATTGAATTCTATGAGTAAAATGACCCATAAAACATGTGTCGCACATGCCCTTTTCTATATTTTGTTTTTGGTGACCTGACCTGACCTGACCTTGACCTTGACCTCTGAATGATATTGTATGCAACGAGGATTGTCTTGGTAGCCTAAAAACACGTTTTTGGCAATCAGTCTCAGTCCATGACTACATTCTTCGGCAACTACGGTGCAAGGCCGATACTGTAGGAACTTGCAATTTGTACCCTTGACCTGACCTTGGCCTTGACCTCAAACTTTAAATTAAGTACATGTTTTTAGTTGTTCGTGATAAGATCTTTCGATTGGCGTTTGAATTTTCCAAATAGGACCATTAGTTCGGGAGATAACAGGGGGTAAAATTTACCCCCCCCCAGCCCCGCGCGTTCGGTTGGAGACCCCAGCCCCGCGCGGTTTAAGATTGAAATACCAAATACCAGGTTGGTACCTGTTCGGTATCAGTATGACACAAAAATTGAGTGTTCAATTTTCATTTGCCTAGTACCGACACTTGCCTACCACATGTACGCCCTAGTTGGCTAATTGCGAGCTTTTCGGTGATTAATCCGCGTACCGACGGGGGTCCGCGCCAACTTAGAACCAACAGGGTGGGTGGGGGGGGGGGGGGCGGTTGACCGCCCCTCCCCTAATATGTCGAGAACGAATCAAGATAGCAACAAGCGGTAAACAGCATGGGATACGCACGGACAAGGTCTACAATTTTCACTGAGGTCATTTTCAAGTCAGATCAAAGATGACGTCACAGGTGTCAAACAAGTCAAAATGGTGGCGCTGGAAATGAAGTTTTTTTTTCGAGTAGGGTAAGGGCGGGTAAGAGGACGCAGGCGACAAGAGTACGCAGCAGCTGTTTCGGTTGCTTAGCAACGCCTCATCAGCGTCATCTCGAGTCCTAACTAGTGACGTACCCAGGGGGGGGGCCACGGGGGCCATGCCCCCCTGAGCGCCGGGGGCCCCTCAGGCCCCAGGATATTTTTTTTAAGCACTGAATAAAACGTCTTTTACTCGGAAGAAAAATTGATATTAAAGTTTCATTTATGCAGCCCTGGTTACCCGAGGGGCCCATGCAGTCATCCAAGGGCCCCCAGTTTCCTGGGCCCCTGGTCGCCTAGGGGGCCTCTGGTAGCCGGGGGCCTGGTCTCATGGGGGCCCCTGATAGCCTGTGGCCCCTAGTCGCCTAGGGGGCCCTGGTCGCCTGGGGGCCTCTGGTCGCATGAGGCCCCTGATCGACTGGGGGCGCCTAGGGGGCCCTGGTCGCATGGGGGCCTCTGGTCGCATGAGGCCCCTGATCGACTGGGGGTCCCCAGTCGCCTAGGCGGCCCTGGTCGTATGGGCCCCTGATAGTATGTGGCCTCTAGTCGCCTAGGGGGCCCTAGTCGCATGGGGGGCCTCTGGTCGCATAAGGCCCCTGATCGCCTGGGGGTCCCTAGTCGCCCAGGGGCCCCTGGTAG